GCAGCTTCTGTTAATGACACAAAAATAGCAGTAGCAGCATTAAAAAGCAGCTGTTATGCTCTGTCCTCTTCTAACGCACGGAACGGTTGCTTGGGACCTCTCAGTCTTACCTATTCACTCGCGGCAATATTTCACTTTTTAAAATTCGACAACCCTAATTCAGGACTGATTTTTCGCAGGCAACCCTATTTTACCGTGTTCATAATTATATAATCTTTATTTTGAATTAAATTTGATTAAATTATCAGACCGTTGCAAAATCCTACTATAAATTTACCTGTTTAGACCTGGCAACCCGAGAGTTATGACTGGAATACAATAGGCAACCTAACGTTTCCATATTCTATGGGCTTCATACTTTCGATTGAAATGGAATTTGTTTAATAGTCAAACCGGTGAAACATTTGAAAAAAAATATTTTTTAAATTATAAATTAGTCATGTTCTGGACTGAAATTTATTAGGCAACCCATACGGAATATAATTATTGACATATTAAATTGAATATAAAATAAGTTTCATCAAATAAGCATCTCGGTGAAGGTCGTTCAAGGCGGGATCTCCTACTATAATGTATAGTAAACACCTGTATGGCACACAGCTTCAAGAATTGTTGTTCATGTTTTTCTAAATAAAATACGAGTAAGTTACATATTCGATTAATAATTCATAATTTCCTTCATAGCCTGTCTCGTTGGCCGAGTCGCACTTGCGGTCGCAAGTGCTACTGCCGAGCAAGGGGTCTCGGGTTCGATTGCCCGGCCGGGCAAAATATACGTTTTATTTTTAATCTTAGTAGTATCACACAACATGTGAAGGTTATTGTATACTGGCTTTTTATACCTTGATGTTTAGCGGTATGTACACAAAGCCACGAGTATGGAACTGTCATTTATTTTCAAACACAATTCCAGTTTGGCACTGAAAAGCCTAATAATATTCTGTCTAAGGGCTCGTACACAAAACTGCGCAAATTCGAAAAGCAAAAAATTACGACACGATTTCGTGCGACAAGGCATCACCCAGGGTAACTATTCCTTCGACGACCGTCAACCATACTGAACATATTTTAAATTAAAAACTAAGTCGTGACATGGATCGTAAAAAGAAGTATGCAGTATGTATATGTTATTCCTTAGGAGACACAGAACCAAAAAAACAGAGAAGATTTTGGGGACATAAGATGCGAATCAATTCGTAAGTTCTTGAGATGCGTAAGAGGAGCTCGCACATTTTTGCGATGCGACGTCGCATCGCAGTTTTGTGTACGAGCCCTTAAACGGAACCCAACGACATCTCACCTATGTTCAGCAGCCCCAACACTGAAACAAATCTATTTTTAACTTTAAATTATATTTCTATCTCCATATTGCTAAGCATAATAAATTTGAACCAGGGCGGGATATTTTATATGCAAATAGCAGAATAGTTAAGTGGCTTTTGGTATTAAATCGGATAAAACAAGATACATGTGGCGGCAAATTGGAATCCTCTTCCGGAAAAGGAGCATAATTATTATGCTCCTTTATGGCAACATTATGGCATACAGCTTTTATTATTATAGATTTAATTTAGTTTGTTTTTCTTTACCATAGCATAGAATTACAAGGAGACAGTACATCGTTGGTAATACGGTTTGAAACGGAACTCCTGAGTGTTTGTTTTTTATTCTATTCACTTTGATCAAAGAAGTTTTAGATTCAAATTTTATTGATGCCTATAATTTTCTAACTCATTCCTCTATAGTATATTACAGGATTTAGGAAGGAGGAGAAATCTGAGAAGTATGAAAAAGCTATTTTCGGTGACCTCAATGTTTAGCGATTACACAATAGATTCCAGTCATTCACATAATACTGTTTATTAAGAAATAAAAGCGCACGTATAACGACAAACAAAACTGGGTTGTCACAAAAACGTTGAACTGCATACCGACATTTTTATTCGCACTCTTTTTACGAGACACTTAACACTTTTTTCTTTACTTTACTTTACTATGAGAATGAGAACGAATGCGGCACAGCAAAAATATTCGTTCCAACGACTCTGCTACTGTTGTAAAACAGTCCTTTACAATGTAGACAATAATGTCCGCTAACCCAAAGCAGATAAGGACTAAAACTCCATACCAAACTTTTGTTTCCAACTGGATATTTTGAGAACACGCAAACGATACCTATTAACGTTCTAAAATCAACAGTATAACTTTTAATGGGCAACATAAGACCAAATTAAAGCTGAGCCAATCAAAATTCTCCCTAATACACGAGGAACGTTCGAAGCTATACAAATGTATTTTATGGGCTCTCAAAAGTCAACAATCTTTTATTAGAAGAGGCCAGATTGCAAAGTAGGGCTTCCTTTCTTTCGAGATTTTTAACAAGGTTGAAATCAGCGCTATGAATTATAGGTGTATTGTTATATTTTATCGACAAACCTATATCTGTCCTATAACAAAATCGATAGAATATTTCTTAAAAATAGTTATTAAGTCAGATACACAAGAAAGTATATGCACATTATTCACTAACATAATGATTCTGTTCTATATTCATAGCTACGTCATGCTCATCAAAATACATCTCGCCATACACATAAACTGCCTAATAGGCATTAGGCACATCAGTCAATGTTTGGCAAATTTTATCCTAAAAATTGCTCATTGTCTTGTTTTTATACGACAAGCCGGTAAATAAGCAGACGGATCACCTGATAGTAAGCAACCGGCGCTGCCCATGGACACCATGAAATACCAGAGGTGTTACTAAACTTTGTAACATTATATTTTAGACTAAGTACCCACGTTGACATTGCATCATATTTTATTATTTCTTTTTGTATGGCTTATATTTGATCGTAGCATTTTAGCATTTTTTTTTTACAATTATTCTAAAATTTTTACTGTATACCTAGTTATCTATTTGACGACATTCAAATCGCATTATAATTTAATTTGCATGCCGAAAATTAAAATGTACTGGGTCAATTAACTTTATTCCAACTTATATGTATACCTACATTATAAGCAAATAAATGATTTCTTTCTTTCTTTACAACTGCGTTACCGGAGCCTTATTTGAAGATTGTTGTAGATTTTGGATATCTGTCATTTACAATCGAGATAGTGGCTTAGACGAAATTCTGTTTAGTAGATTTTGTGGATAGGTTTCTCTCAAAATGTTAGCCTTTGTTATGCGCACTGCATTTTTAAAGATATTTATATTGTTTCGTTTCTATAATTTTATTATATTTTTTTTAAGGGGGCAAAATCATCAAATTACTTCTCCCGCCTGGGTGAGGCGAGAGGGAGTGTCAGACTCTTACTGGCTAAAAACCGCCCCGTTCCTACTTCTGCCCTTTCGAATCTGAGCCCCGGCAACCCGTTAAGTCTCATTTTCCGATTGAAGGGTAGGTGCTCAATAAGTACACACGCGTTTTAAGTTTATTAGAGACAAATAAATTAGTATAAATTATTTAAAAAGTTTTTAGTAGCTTCAATTGCACCAAGTATTATATAGTTTATTAGCGTCACAAATCACAAGTGTCTGCCAGTTCTATGTGATTAAAACAAATTGTGGCAACCACCTGCCAGCACATCAAATTTTGAAGAACTTTATTATTACACGGTACAAGCACTGTTACACTGCCACAATGTCTGAAAACACCGAGCTCATAAATGTACATTTGACGGTACGGGACAGGCTCTTAGAGAAGCTAGGTGAGGTGGAGGATCAGATACAGGCTGCTGGCTCTGCAAAGGACACCGTGGCCAAGATTGCTGATGAGTTCCGCACATTCCGGGTGCTCGTCCTTAGTATACTAAAGATGCTGCGGCAACAGGTCTCGGAGAGCTTGCGGAGTGGAGATGAGTCGGAGATGAGGCGCCGTCGGAAAGTCATTGTGTTTCAAGGCATACCAGAGGTGGAGAAGGAGGACTGCAAGAGGGTTGCCTTGGACGTCATCAATTCTAAGCTGAGCCTTGGACTTACAGCTTCTTCTATAAAGGTATGCCACAGACTCGGGGTTCATAATAAAGACCATCATAGGCCTATTTTAGTGCGGTTCACCAGTGTCGACACTAAGGCTTCAGTGTGGCGGGCTAAGACTGGTCTGCGGGGCTCGAAGATATCCATGAGGGAGTTCCTGACAAAGACCAGACAGGCGATATTTGCTAAGGCGCGCCAGCATTTTGGGATGCGTGCCTGCTGGACCCAAGATGGCAACATCTTCCTGAAGTCGTCTGATGGAAGAAAGCACAGGGTAACATGCTTGGAAGATCTGAGTCCACTCCTCGCCAAATATCCCAAGGCGGCGGGTCAGTCGAGCGTCGCACAGCCTGCAGCTGGGCGCGGTGGGGAGGCGAGTGATGGGAACCTGGAAGTCGCACATGAATAAGGTTTCTCACTCCTACTCAATGCTATTATAATTAATATGTAATGTACTTTCTATCCTGTGTTCAACTTACCATATTCTTTTCATATGTTTTATTATTTAATCTTGTGGATATCAGTTAGCCTCCTCTACCCACAACTCTCGTAATTATTTGTTCTTTTGTTTCGTCTTAATGACTTTATTACTTCTATTAATTACCTTTATTAATTCTATTAATTTACTTTAAAATAATGTGGGTTGTTGTATTTTGACTTTTGAGCTGTCAATTCATCTGAACGAATCTGTCCTGTCACTGTCACTCTGTCCGCTGTCAACTCGACAGTGAACGGCTGCGTTCAGAAACAAAAATTTTATCTTTTTCTGTTCATAATTATTTTTTATTTTCTTTTAACCATAGATTACGTTTTAATGTTTGACTTTTTTTTTTATACATGTACTTTGTTTTGTTTTCATGTACCCTGAACTTTGTATTGTTTTGATGTTGGCTGGCGGGTGGTGCAGAGCTGCACGTGAGTAGTAACTGGCATCTGCTGTGGTATTTATCATAAAATTTACATACATAATTATTATATCTATATATTTTTGTAATTTATTATTTTATATATATTCATGTCTGATATTGATTCTTTTGCGTCTGCGTCTGATGATGGTTCCTCTATTTGTAGTTTTTACTCTTTTGGTGACACTCTGGGTGACTTCCTTCAAAACCAGTTTTCTGCCAAGAACAACCGTCTGTTAAATGTTTGTCATATTAATGCTCAGAGTGTTCCCAGTCACTACAGCGACCTCTACGAAGCGTTTAATAATAGCAATGTGCATGCCGTCCTGATATCCGAAACCTGGCTCAAGCCTCATCTCTTATCTACCACCTACCCCTTAGCTGGATATGTGCTCATCCGGAATGACCGCATTAACGGTAGAGGGGGGGGCGTGGCCATTTATCTCCGCGGTGAATTAGCTTACAGAGTTATTTCATCATCTCCCCAAAACTGTCCTGCGGAGTACTTGCTACTTGAGGTTTGTGTCCAGGGGGTGAAAATCGTTATTGGTGTATTTTACTGTCCGCCCTCAGTCGACTATTTCACTGAATTCGAATCAGTACTAGAATCTCTGGGTTCAGAGTATGCACATCACGTAATCATGGGTGATTTCAACACCAATCTCCTTGTCCACAACTCCTTTCGTTCCTGTAGGCTTCGGCATCTGATCGAGTCAGCCTGTCTTCATCTACTACCTCTCCAACCCACTCATCACAACACTGTCGGTGAGGACTCATGGCTCGATCTGATAGTCACGTCCAATCCCTCACTAGTTTCTTCTCATGGTCAACATGAGGCTCCCGGATTCTCTCACCATGACCTGATCTTCCTGTCCTATATCCTGAAACCACCCAGGGTGAGGCCTAGGGTTCTGTTCAGGCGTTGTTTTACACGGATGGATAGTGAAAAACTTATAGAGGATGCATCGAGTATTGATTGGGGGCCTCTGATGGAGGCTGCAGATGTCGATACCATGGTCGCTGTTTTTAACAAAACTTTGACTGAGCTCTACGACCGCCATGCTCCCGTGAAGAAAATTAAATTAAAACGGCCTCCCGCACCTTGGATGACCAGACACATACAGATGGCAATGCGGCGCAGAGACCGCGCGTTCCGAAAGCACAAAAATGATCGAACTGTCGAGAACTGGGCGGCCTATAAAAACGCTCGAAATAGGTGTAACCAGATGGTACGTAATGCTAAACGCCGACATATTCTAGATAACATCTCTTCTTCATCTCCGGCCGATATCTGGAAATTCCTCGGGACTCTAGGTATCGGCAAATCACAACACACTGACCTCCCAAATTCTGTTGGTTTAAATGACCTGAACCGACATTTCTCCACTGTGTCCAAATTGGATCCTCTTGCTAAACAGCAAACTTTATCTTTTATTTCTGCTCTGATGCGTTCGTCTTCTTTAGCTTCTTTCACATTCACACCGGTGCAGCCTGAAGAGATTCGAAAGATCATCCTCTCCATTAAATCCAGGGCGGTGGGTTGTGACGGTATATCGCGGTATATGGTCACAACCATACTCGATCATCTCCTCCCAACCATAACTCACATGGTTAACTATTCCCTGTACTCCAAAGTCTTCCCATCCTTGTGGCGTAAAGCCTATGTCCGTCCTCTTCCTAAGATAACCAATCCTACTCTTCCCACACACTTCCGTCCTATATCAATTCTTCCCTTCCTGTCAAAGGTGCTCGAGGCCTGTGTCCATAAGCAACTTGCTGACTACATATACAGTAACTCGCTTATAAGTCCATTGCAATCCGGATTCAGGCCCGGGCACAGTACTGTAACCGCTCTCCTTAAAGTGATTGGCGATGTGAAGGCAGGGATGGAGGACACCAGGATCACAGTATTGGTTTTGGTGGACTTTTCGAATGCCTTCAACATGGTCAATCACGACATTTTGCTAGCTATCCTATCCCATCTTTCGGTCTCTGATGGTGCACTGGATTGGTTTTCATCTTATCTTCAGGAACGTCAGCAATTGGTCCAGGTTGGTGAGGCTTCGTCGAACTGGTGCCATTTAGAGGCTGGGGTTCCTCAAGGCGGAATTCTCTCTCCTCTTCTATTCTCCATCTTCATAAACCTTATCACTTCCGAACTTCAGTGTGCGTACCATCTGTATGCCGACGACCTGCAATTGTACTGTCAAGTCAAGATTGAGGACTTACCTGATGCAGTTGCGAAGGTGAACGCGGACTTGACTGCCATATCTAACTGGTCTGGGAAATTTGGCATTAATGTCAACCCGAGCAAGTGTCAGGCGATAATAGTAGGTAGCTCCCGCACTTTGTGCAAGGTTAACAGTGCAACGGTACCGCCAGTCCGATTTGACGGTGCGGTCATTCCATTTAGTAGTGATGTCAAAAATCTTGGGTTGCACATCGACGGCAACTTAACCTGGCGTGCTCATGTTACTAGTGTCTGTCAGCGAGTCACGGGGACGTTGCGAGCCCTCTATCGGTTAAAAAACTTCCTTCCGTCGTCGACCAAGGCGATGCTTGTTCAGTCCTTGGTTTTCCCCATAATTGATTACGCTGATGTGTGTTACTACGACCTGAATGCAGATCTCCTCAATAAACTTGACCGCCTTCTAAATAACTGCATTCGATTCGTCTTTAACCTGCGTAAATACGACCATGTCTCTGCATATCGGTTGCAACTAAAGTGGTTGCCCATACGTCAACGCAGGAAACAACGGGCGTTAACCACTTTATTTTCTCTTCTTAATTCCCCCACTTCTCCTAGCTATCTATCCTCCTATTTTCAGTTCATAAGTGCAAACCACAGCAAGTATCTTCGTTCCACTAATAATCTTCTTCTACAATGTCCCACGCACCGGACCGACTTCCTTCACTCTTCATTCTTTGTCCAATCCATTCTGCTGTGGAATGCGCTGCCCACGGATGTCAGGACGGCAACCAGCCGGCTTAGTTTTAAAGTTAAGGTTCGTGAACTATTGCAGAGGGAACAGACAGACGCATCACCTACTTAATTTATCATTTTGGCGATTGTATTTAATATATATGTATAAATATATATATATTATAAATATATATTATATGTATTTTTATTCCCAATTTATTTATTCACTTTTATAGTATTGTTATTTAGTAATATTGATAATGTATCTTATGTAATTTACATTATACCTATATATACGGATATATGTATGTATTTACAGTTATGCTTCACATAAACCATTATACCTATTACACCTACTGTTGCACATCTCTGCATCACCCCATGGTTGACTGTTAGAGAATGCCACCCGGCATTAAGTCCGCCATCGTATGTTATATACAGAAGTGTTAATAAATAAATAAATTAAGTCCTCTGCGGCTCCGTATCGGCATCAGCCCTATTGGGCCCCATCCGTGGTGGTCTGATGGCTCTTTGAGGAGCACGCGGAACGCGACGCGCCGCACGCTCGGGTCTGATTCTAGTCGGGCGGCGAGTTACCAATGTTCGCCGTCTGCAGTCCCGTGCTTACGGTTTGTATAATTATACTTAGTTGATACCGAATGGGAATTTAGATTTTGACAACGTACAGAGAAAATTTACAGGATTTAATAATCAGTATTTTCTCTTTCAGGGAGTAGGCAACATCCTTACTATCCTACTAATATTATAAATGTGAAAGTTTGTGAGGTTATTTTGTTTGTCAGTGTGTTTGTTACTCTTTCAGGTAAAAACGGCTGAAGGAATCGGAATGAAATTTGGAACAGGGGTAGATTATGGTCTGGAATAACACATATGCTACTTTTTATTCCATGGGGACGCGGGTGAAGCTGCGGGCAGAAGCTAGTAGGATATAATATAGTGACTATTTTATCTAGTTATATTTTGCAGGATTATGACCTCAAAACCTTCTAGGAAGAATAAAATACCTATTAAGTTCCAGAAGACACAAGATAATAAATAAATCTCATTTTTATCAAAAGATACATGTGACTGCCTCGTTGGCCGAGTGGTCGCAAGTGCGATTACCGGGCCAGGGGTCTCGGGTTCGATTCCCGGGTCAGGCAACGTATTATTGGGTTTTAAAAAAAATCTCAGTAGTAGCACGGAGTCTGTAGCTGTGCCTGTATATACGACAATAGGCGCGTAATTACATGGGACTCGTAACATTAAAAGTGAAAAGTGGATGTTACATTGTACAGTGCCATGACATGCACTTCTGCCTACCCAGGGATTAAAAGGCGTGATGTTATGTTATGTTATACACGTAACGCCGAACGTATTCAAGTTATGACTGAGTTTAACTTCAAACAACTCAGTTTACGAGGACACATGCTTACAATCTTTTATTTTTCCCAGCAATAAAATGTAACAAATCAAATATTTTCGATGCGTTCGTTCAACCGCTGTTTTTATGGCCACTATAATTTACATGAAACTATAAAACCGACTGAGAACGTACGAAACTGTTGCAACTTGACTCATATATTTTAAAGAAGATGTTTTACTTGTGTATGTAGTAGGTATACGTATTGTTTTATTTTTTTTAAATAGTTCGATATTGGAAATATCTGCTGAGTCAATGCTTGCATTTATATATATATATGTATGTTTCGTTAGAGAAGCAGATTTGTTGCGGAATTAGTACATAATAGATATACTGCTGCTTTTCGTCAATTTTCTTCGTTGTTTACATAGTGGGCGACTATTGCCATGTAATCACGCACTGGGTATAATTAGGTAGTTTCCCGGGTCAAAAATTATTTTGATTTTGCAGTTCAATTAAACATTGAACAATAGTTACACTTTCATTCATTGATTTGCCGACATACTTAATTTTCGATGTATTCTAGCATTTTCTTTAGATATAAGTGTGCTATTCGACGAGAAAATGTGATGACGTCATAAGATGGTATTTTAGTACAAAATTCATAGAAAGGTATCGTTTTTGACGTTTCGATATTGAATTTGACAAGTTGTCAACTACCGTCTTACGTAGGTAGGTATATTTTATGCTAAATTAAGGTTTCACAAATATCGTACCTACTTGTTCCTGATTATTATTATACTACTGATTCGGATTCACAGTTACTGTTTCCCGATTTTCTCGAGAAGCTTCTCATTGTTCACGACAATTCGAGTTATAAAATATGACATAAATACACAATAACGATTTACGACCAAGAGAAGTATGTACAAAAACATTTAACTCATGGTATGCCGGGAGCGTAGATCTACGTGGGACATAATGTGTCTTCTATTGTGTCTTATATACCGGCTCTTATATACTGGCTATCGGTGATCAATACAAGAGGTTTAAAGACCCTTAAAAATAAAACACTATATTCTTATAATTATTTCCAACACAGAGGCAAGAAACTTGCATGACAGAATATAACATCATGCTTTTTATCCCCGAAGAGGTAGGCAGAGGTGCACATTACAGCACACTGTACAATGTAACACCCACTTTTCACTATTTATGTTATGAGTCCCATGTAATAAGGGTTGAGCATATAGCCATATACCGGACACAATTCCATTAATTTCAAGCACAAAATAATGAACTGGTTCGTTAATAAAATTACTGATTCTTTATATCAAGATGTCTTTCTTCAAGAAATAAAGCTAATTAAATTAGTTCCGTAATTCGGAACATGTCATTCCGCTCACAGAATCTAATTAACTTCTAATCGGCTTTCTGTCAAACTGGTATAAAATTTGATTTATTTTTTCTTTGAAGTCGCCATGTTTTTTCTTGGTTTTATTTCTTTGGAGGTATATTGGTGTGCTTGTGTGGTAGTTGTTTTTATTGATAATAATTTCTTTAAGTTATGAGGTAAGATTTTTTTATCTATATGTTATGCTGAGATATTCGTTAACTCGTCGAGTACCGTCATTATAGACACAATTAAAGAACAATAGGTTGCGGTCACCGGTGTCCTCGCTGTGTTTGACAGTTTAAATAAATTGTTGTAAAGGATTTTAAACCTTGCACTACGAATTTATTTTTTCATTAAAATGTACCCAGTTCCATTACATTTGTTTGTGGCACACAGGATATAAATTATATAAAATGTCCATTAAAAAAAAGAATATTTCTTTAAACATTGTTATATTTTAATTTAAACGACCTGCATCAACGAAATAAGATTTATTTTTGTCTCAACAGAAATAGGGAAGGACCGAATAATTTAAATTGCCAAACAAGGATGCGACCGTTTTGGACCACAAATAAGATATTTACTAAATCGTCGGGACCCTACTTATCCTCAAATTTACCTACCGTGAAGGTAATCAATTCGAGGCTGCGGAGTCCTTGGCACACAAACGTTTTTTCCAACTTTGAACAAGATCTTTGAAGCGAGAAAAAGAACCATTAACTACGTCACGAAGTTTTGAAGTCAAAAAACGACAACTGTGTTTTAGATCCCCAGTCCTAAAGTTGCGTAAAGTATTATTATGGCTTTCATGTGTCCATTATCACAATATTCTAAATTTCTAGTATAAGTAAATACTTTTTTGTTCCCTTTCTAGAATAACAAATGAAATATTCTGTTGTTACGAGATAAGATAAGCATAAAATAGTTACTACAATAGAAAATAATGACGCACTGCAGATAAAACCCGAAAATAAATTCATCTGTAAGTGAATGTGGACCAAATAAGTGGATAGGGCCTAAACTAATCCGCGGTCTACCCGAGACCTAATTTGTTAAGCTAATAAAGACTACCCGAATTCAGAACTAGACACATTCACTGAAGATTTACTAGTAGTTACATTACTTCATAAGTGTAAATAATAAAGCATTTTTGTATCCGTATAAAGAGCACGATTTTTATTTTCCACGAGGACATTTACTTCATTAAATCCCCTCTATACAGGGCTGTATATTTTTTATTTTATGACTACATTCGGCCGTAAAAGTAAAATGAAGCCTTTTTGACCTTTCATACCATTCCTGTTGCGTCTTTAAATGAGAAAAAGGGTGTTTTATTTGCTAATATTCTCCAAAAAGGTCCGGTTTCTGAGTTACTGGCTGTTACTTATATGTTTTTTTTTCTAATTTGAATAAAGAACAATTTTGTGATCATTTTTATTTGTGTTCACATTACAAAGCTATTGTGAATGTCTTTTTATGTTTTGTTTTCTTTTCTAATATTTTCTCCTTTAGACTAAAGCAATGTCACATTTGACATTTTTTCATTGGTTTTTATATTTTGTACCAATATCGACAAGTCAAAGATCATCAAATGTCAAAGCGGGAACTATCACTATACAATGATAATAATGTATCTTATATTGTTCTAAATATATCTGTAAACATACGTTAACCTCATTTAAAAAGAGAATTACATAAAAATAAACAACACAAACTGGTTTTACATTACAGTCAAAATAGTGTTGGAATAAGGAATACAATTTAAATTCGCGGTCTCATTTTTAATTCATCGAGCTAAATAGTTCCTGAAAATGTTAAATTACTGTGAACATTAAACTGTTTACGGTTTAATATCAAATATCCAAATCTACATTTACAGTTGTATGTATAATAAAATATTCGTTTACCAAAGAATTTTACACCTTAGTTTCTGAGTGTCAAAGTCCATTCTTGTATAGCCAATTCAATTACTTTTTTCAGTCTTCATATTGCATTAATGGGGTATTCAGATGTGTGTATGTGTATGTGAATATTTTATATATGTAGTATCGTATAGCAAGCTTTTTATGTCTTCTTTTATTCGTAATTAAAGTGAAAATGAAGAAGATGTGGATCTTAAGTTATGAATTATTTTATGACTTGTATCACAAGTAATTTTTTTTTATTAAAAAGAAAAGGAGTAATCCCGTAAACGACAATTATAATATATTTCTTTTACTCAACAGCAGCTGTAGCCAAATGCTACTAAATTGCTATGCTATGCTATGGAATTTGGGCTCGCTGCCATCGCAGCGGTAAGTCCCCTCTTTGAGGAGTGACTTGAGAGACGCTACGGCGTCCTCACCTACCGCCTGACGCAGGTCCTCACCGGACATGGGAGTTTCGGGAGGTACCTGTGTCTGATGGGGCGGGAGGAAACGTCCGGGTGTCATCACTGCGAGGACCGTCCTGAGGACACGGTGGAACACACTGTCGCGGAATGCCCTGCGTGGGCTGAGCACCGCCGTGTCCTCGGGGAAGTGATCGGCGATGGCGACCTCTCGCGTCCGGGCCTAGTGCAGGCCATGATGCGGAGCGAGGGGGACTGGGATGCCGTCTCCTCCTTTTGCGAAGCAGTCATGCTAGCTAAGGAGGAGGCGGGACGCGTGAGGCAGCGAAGCGCTGCCTCCTCGCAACCCAGCCATCGCGAAGGACACACACCGGGCGTCGGGGATAGCGGGACGATCTCCGGCCACCGTAAGCGCGGGCCTGCGGACGGCGAGCATGGGTGGCTCCCCGTCCGACCAGAAACAGACCCGAGCGTACGGCGCGTCGCGTTCCGCGCGCGCCTCAAAGAGCCATCAGACCACCACAGATGGGGCCCAATAGGGCCGATGCCGATTCGGAGTCGCGGAGAACCTAACGGGTAACCGGGGCTCCGGCTCGACGTGCAGGAGAAGGAACGGGGTGGTTTTTAGTCAGTAAGAGTCTGACACTCTCTCCCGCCTCACCCAGGCGGGAGCAGTCATTC